CGCTCTTCCCCTACGCTGATTGTCACACATTGTTTACTACAGCTTGAAATGTGAGTCACAACACAGGGTATCTGCTGCCGCTCTGACAACCGAGGGATTCTTTTGACGCGCTCTGTGCGTCCTGGTTATTTGGGGACAGGCTGTGGAGACTACCCTTCTGCCATGACAGTGGATTTGTTTGCGCTTTTATGCGTGCTGGTCATCACATCCTCTGCGATGGAAGGTAAGTAACACATTTGGATCATGCCTGTTTTACATACACAGATGTTCTCCAAGTCGCGCTCTGTAACTTTGGGATGCTCCAGCGTTGGCTCTTGCACAGGGATACGGGGCTGTGACACACGTGGATCGCAACAGATTGACGTGGTTATTCTTTATTTCGGAGTGAGCTGGTTGTCAGTATGGTCACTTGTCCGTATGAAGAGCGATAATTGTTCTGATTGAAATGTGGTTTTATATGTGGTGCATGGTAGTTTATTGCTGGCTTGTGCGCTAAAATATGTCTTTCTCACTCTTTAATGTTCCTCGTTCTATACAGCGGAGTAAGACAGGAGGAGGCTCTTCTATAGACTGCGTTATTTTAAATAGCTCGTAAGTTTATGTCTAAGCCTCTGTCGGATCTCCAATGATCCCTGTCATGTTTCTATTTTCAATTGTACATGCAGAAAACGGTTGTCGTTGTCCCCGGAGCATCATTCTGTGGTATATTGAATCGCTGAGACAAACTCTCTTAGATTGTGAAATGAACTAGGCGGAGGTTTCCCTGTGACCTGGATTTAATGCTGGGCCATTATTTATGTTTATCTCTTGGAAATAAACAACTTTATTCAAAACAAATCGAGCTATGTTTCCCCCGTTCTCCTACTGCTCTTACTTTGTTGTTCTCTTCATCCATCTCTATTCCCTTGTCTCTAGCTTTCTTTTTGCATCTCCCCCATTTCCTCCTTTCTATCTCATACACACTCATCTGGACAAGTGGTGGTGGTGCCACTAGTAGCTGATATCTTCTCAGTTAAACATGTTTTTCATTTCCGTTTTGCACCCTAGGGACTGAACACTGAGCTGTAAGCTCAGACATTACAGTAGCTGCTGGATAATATCCCATTACCATCATGGAAATATGTGTCCTCTCTGATTTTATTGCACAGTAGCTCATCCTCTCCAGTGAAACATGCACAGCTTCCCCATGGCTGGCTGTATCCACTTCCAAAAGCATAAATGAGTAAAACTGAAGCACAAATACAATGCGCTTTCTCACATGCAACTTTTCCTTTTAATCATTCACAGCTCTCCTCCTGGACTGTTCCCAGCTCCGGCTGTGCTCTGTAATTCGGCATTGGCTTTCTTGTTTGTGCTCATCAGATTTCAACGCAGCTTTGGGTACCAAGCCCAGGCCCAAATTGCTACCTCTGCAAAGATAGATATTTTGAGATTCAGATGTTTACCCAGTGTGAACTGACAGCAGAAATGTCAATTCAGAGAGATGAATGGAGGATGGGAGGTTAAAGGGGAAATTTTTCCTGCTAGGAAAGGGATGTGAGATTTCTACTTTAAAAGAAAGAAAAAGATGGGCCGTGAGGTATAGTCTGGGTTACCTCGGTAACAAGGAGGAAAGTGATTTCCTTGTTTGGGTCGCTTAATTTAAAGGCTGTTGTCCCATGGGCAGGTTAAAAGCTTCACTGATCTGAACGCCAATCTGCTGCTCTTTTTTTTTTGGGG